TAACAAAACTATACAGTATCCATTAAAATGCATTTATTTGTTTTAATGCAAAGGTTTAACAACTCTTTGTCCAGTGATCTGGACTTAGGGCACAACAGAAAAAAAAAAAAAATCAGACCAAAATACAAAAAACAAGTACACAAATTGCCCCTTATTTGTAACTGTTACCTCATAACCAAGTTTTAGTACATTAAAAAGTTTACAAAATTTATAACACCTTTACAAATTATTCAGAACTAACAGCATACGTGGCAGTTGAGCCTCTCCACATCCATCCTTGCCCTTGCCATGCCAGTCTGTGCCCGGGTACCAGCACGTTTGAGGGCTGGGTACCTGGGACTGCTTCGTGCTGCAGCCCGGTGCCCGAGCAGCTCCAGCTCCCTGGCACAGCTGGGCTGACGAGTGGTGTGGCTGTGCTCACTGTCCTGCCTGCTGTGTCCTCTGCAGCATTGAGAGAGTGACTCAGTAAATGCAGAAATTATTTTTTAAAAGTACAAAATTGACCCTGGAAAAAAAATAAAATCATTTAAAATAAAACCCAGCTTGGCTTGGACTAAGTTACACTAAAAGCTGCGAGACAGATTTAGAGCAATATCACCTTGAGGACGAGATCACAAGAATCAACAGATTTGTTACGAGTCCTGTCACTGTAAAAATTAGAACATCAAAGTTGACTTGCCTGCCTGTAGAAACCTTTTGCCTCCTAACAGAGCTGACACATACCCTCTTCCTGGGTTTTGGCCTTTTTAGAGCTTTGTTAATTACTAGGACTAATTTAATTCCTAAGACCACCTCTAGCAAAACCACTGCAGCAGTGAGAAAAGCAGCATGCCTGTATAATCAACTAATTGTAGATGCATACAAGAGATCCTGTGTTTTTTGCACTTATTTATGACATAAAAGTACAGTAATTTAACAGTTCCAAGTAGCCATTTCTGAAAGAATACAGTCAAGCTTTACAAAACCATTTCAAATATACAGAGCTATCAAACCCCTGATTGTAGCCAGAAACAGATGGATAAATCTACATTGAGGTACTCAATCATCTTAAGGTGTGCAAATGGACTAACTTTATGTCTCCCAGAATCAGCAAGGCAGCATCTGCTTAAACGTAAGTGGGCTTTGCTCATAAGCAGCATTTGTCAAGCCCCAAGAAAGAAGCTGACCCAAAACCAAGTACAGGTGAGTGTGTTCATAGGCTGTAGCTTTTAATTGATTTGTACAAGTATGGTCAAGAGCTGTTAATTTTCCCCCTTTAAAAGAAGCAAGCCAAATTCTTCTTTGGTGCTTAAATAGGAGGAAGTTCAACAAACAGATACAGCTCAAACACTGTGCACAGTGTCTGAATCCTTGAAAAATAGCACTGCATGCACCCTGGGCAGCTACAGCCTTAGCACAGTAATCTCAATACTCACTTTTCTGCTTTGCAGGGCTATGTTAAGGCTGCATAAACAACCTATCAATTTAAACACATTTATTGTAGTTACTAATGCTTCATTTACATGTACATTTGGAGGCAAATTTAGACAGTCATTCCTTGGTAGAAAGATTAATTCATTTCATCTCTCCTTCTTCTGTCTGAAGCGCCTGCAGCACGAAAAATGAGGAGAGGGCTCTGTTCAGACACCTTAACACATATCAACTTCTCTGTGAAGTCTATGCACCAGCACCTCACAAGAAATTTTTCTGGTATTGTCCCTCACTTGCTCATGGACAGCAAGTCAGTTCACTTCAGGGTGAGATTTTACAGTCAGCTTAAGCTCCTGGTGAAAGCAGTCGGCCTGTACGGTCCACCTCCTGCTCTGCCCTGTAGCAATGGCCAATGCTTTTGTAACTGCCAGTATTGTGACAAAAGATTTAGGAACATTTGACCAGGGAGGACCAGGAGTCCCCCTTGAATTGTACATTTTACTGCTGCGATGTAAAAGCTCATTACCAGGTAACTAGGCAACAGTTTCAAGTTATCTTGACATAGATTGTGTGTGTAATACCAAAGGAGAGAATGCCAATTAGCTTTCAAGAACAGAAGTATAGCTTTGCTCTTTATACTGGAAATTAAATAAGAATAAAAGCAACCAAAGGAGTCATGGTATTTAAAAGATGTGTAGATGTGGTGCTGAGGGACATGGTTAGTGGTGGATCTGGCAGTGTTATTGGAATCGATCTTGAAGGCATTTTCCAACCTAAATGGCTCTATTCTAACTCAGCCAGCTTTGCTGATACTGTACAACAAGCAAAGAAGCAGCAGCTTACCATCAAAAAGAGTTGAAGGTTCCACAGCATTTGCTCCCACCTGACTCCAGCTGCACCATCCAACTCTTTTACAGCAGCTCCAATACTTCCAAAATCCTTGAATGCAGTAGTTGGTTCACCTCTCTACTTTTTCCCTGAATCACCTTGTTCAGGTTAGCCATTTTCACAACTTAAGTTGGTATGGGAGCGTTCCACAGGCTCCAGAACCTGCACAGGTAAGCTTTGGAAGGGGAATACGAGTGGCCTGTTGGTTCTGCTGAGCAGTTTTGTCAGAGTAATTCATGTTGTGGAATTATGTCTGAAATTACTAGTGTGACTCAAAACAACTGGACCATCATAATGGAGAACAGAGTGAGCCACAGCACAGCGTCACAAGCAGACACCTATGCTAGAGGTGGAAAGGTAGGCAGGAGCAACCACTTACAGTGGCTCTGTTGTCAAGAGTACAAGTGGTACAACTACACGGAGAATCCGTTCATCCAAACTGCCCCAGGGATGGCCCTTGTGTTGGCTATATTTAACACTGCCATTCCTTCTACTGAGTTTTAAGTCAGTCAGAAGAGCTCACAAATGTTGCATTCCAAGTGAACAGCCTGTGCTGGGAGAGACACCTGAGCTAACTGAAATGCTTCTGCAGTCTTAACTGACCAGAGGCAGTCAGCAGCAGCAAATAGCACCTGTTTTATACTTGTTTAGAATGCCCCAGAACAAATGACTACAGATAAAAAATGTATTTTTTTTAAAGAAAAGAAAAAGCCTGCTACTTTTACATAACTCAGAAATTTTTCCAGTACCTACAATATTCTGCCAAAAAGAAAGAAACAGGAAAGGTTCTTAAAAGAAACCCTAAACAAATCACTCAAGGTAAGCAAATAATAATGCTAAATAACATTTTCAAAATTTGGCTGAAATCATTCTTTTGTAATAGCAAACATTCCTTCCAAAAAAAGATTGAATCCAGCATAAGGCATTTTGCCACATGAAGTAAATAAATAAACCATGACACACTTGGAAGTAACTGTGGGGAGGGAAGAATCCCTGTGCATTTCACTCGGCTGCTCACAGGGGATGAATACACTAACGGGGCTCTGGCATCCAGCACTGCACCCTGGCACCCCCAGCAACACCCTGCCTCTCACCATGAACACTGAACCTGCTGAAAGAAACAGCCAGAACTATCACCTCAGCAGCTGATCAGGAGGCCTAGCACAGAGGGGTTCAGGCCTTCAATACCAGCACGTTCCTTCTTCAGGCCTCACCCCAGGAATACTTCAGCAACACGTGCAGCTTTCCTGAGGCAGCAGAGAGACTACAGCAGAATTCATTACCTGTGCCTGCATTTGCAGGATCAACAACTGACAGCTAACGTTTCATCTGGCAGTTCTTACTGTCAGGTGCTTAGCTTTCTCAATTTGAATCTTGATTAAAAACCCAGGGAGCTGCACAGCCTGTATAACCAAGACTAGCCATAATGAGTTTGACAGGTAAGTAAGTTTATGTCACATCTTCTCAAGATGTGAGACTACAGTATATTTATCACATATATATACACACAGCAAGCCATGGAAGAAAGCCAGAAACCAGTTTGTAAATTAGAATGTGGGACGATGTATTTGATTGTGGTGTCCTTTTTTTTTTTAATCATACAGATTAAAAATATTTTAGTCATTTTTTTCCTTCTCCAATGAAAACATCTCTTTTTTGAGGAAAAAAAAGTCAACCGCTTCTCATTCTTACTTTTCGTTCTTGAGGTATACATGACTGTACTTTAACTTCAGAATATATCTTCAGGTGATCCAGCTGGAGGAGGTATGATGGTTTTGTTTTATCTTACAAGTCACAGCTTTGACAACACGATGAATCTGTAAATTGCAATTAACTTCTGTACAACTAAATTACTGCAGCCCTGAAACACAACAAATGGTGCTTAATAGACTCACAATTAACTGTCTGGAGGAACACGTTCAAGATTACCCATCTTTCTGCCCAACAGTTTCTCCTCTAGCCTTGGAAAATGTGAACAGGTAGACACAGCTTACTATTTATCATTCTGCCTATCCACGTTCTGTTCTCCAAAAGAGGTGCTGACAGGAAGACTGAGTCACACTAGCAAACTGGAACACTTTCATTCCAGTAGAGGCCTGCACTGATTTGACATTCCTTTTTCTAACTGTATTTTTAAATCAGTATACAGAATATATCGGAGCTGTAGAGAGAGAAGAGTTTCGTTTTGTTTCTTCACTAACCCCTCTACTGAATAAGGATCAGTGCAGAACACAGAGGAGGAATGTTTCAAAAGCTAGTAAGTGATAAAAGAAAACTGATTTTTAGATTTGACTTTGTATCTCCACTCCCTCTCCAGTCTAAGCTAAACAAAAAAAAGTTTGTTCAAACTCAGGTCAGAACAGTGGATGAAATATCTTATTGTAGCTTACATGTAATACAGTCTTTTCATCTTCAAAGCATCCAGATCTGATGGTACTTAGCCAGCTAGATATTTATCCACAGCAGCTTAGAAATTAAGTAGTCAATTAAAAAAAAAAAAAAAAAATTAAACAAGTTATTGTTCCCCAACTTTGTCAACCAGCTTAAAGAAAATACAGTAGAACCTCCATGGTTCTGCATGTATGACTGGGAGACGAAGAGTCCGTCGTTCGCTGCGGCCGTTCCGCACCATTCACGTGCTAAGAGTTAAGATGGGCTGATGGACTTCAGTGTGTGCTGTCCACATCAGTGGAGTGTTGTGGTTCAGCTTTAGTTCATGTCCTATGATATAAGCATGCTTAAATTTAATGGAAAATAAGTCACAACGAGGTAGCACTGCCACTCTCTTTGCTGGAATGTGGACAGATCCTGGCCTAATTTTAAATGGTGGATTAGCAAGATTCTGCTGCAACCTACACAAAATGTATAAAACATGAACCTTTTCCAGAATAAGGCCACTATTTTGCCATTGGCAATAGGCAGTGTGGAAAAGTAGGTAAAAAAACCTCGCTTGATTAGAGAGGTGTTTGTGAGGCAATAAACTGTGGGGAGAAGTATAAACACATTGTCCTCTCATCCCTCCTCTTTGTTTTCCAGTATAAGTATCTCTGCTTCCTGCACATACTACTCCACAGGGAGAAATTTCAGTCTATTTTCTTAGCTGGGAGTCTAAGGAAGTCCACGCTACATTTGAAGGTGGGGACAGCACTGTGAAACAGTAGGATTACAAGCTTCCCATGAGTCATGGTCATGACAGTCTGATGTCCAGATGCCCAGATTCGATACCAGGGCCCATAAAAAGGATCTGAGATGGCTGGGCACAACATGTTGTTCAAATTCACTTCTGTAACCTGAGAAAGTGACAACAGATTTATAAATTAACAATATTTTTGTGTTGCACTGATTCAGACACCTAAAATGGCAATTTAGAAATTACCATAACCATCAAACAAGGTTTAGGTGACACGCCTCTGTTCAACACAAGTAGAGCAGCTTTCAGAAGGAAAGCAAATCCAAATTCAGTTGTGCATTTAATAGATGGATTTATGCAGGTACATGACCAATTTATTAAATATTTTACCAATACAAATGCTCAACAGGACATGCAATTAAACACCTGCATGCAAGTAGTCTTATCAATACACATCTGGACACTTTGAAAAACCAGTCGGTGTCTTTACTTTGAATGTACTTGCAAGCTATCCATTTATTAACCTGTATTTACTTACCAATCCCAGAATCTGCAAGATGCTAAAATGATATACAAACATAAACCCCGTGGATAAAAGAGCCCACCAGAAATTGCAGAGTGGTTCTGGAGTGTAGATACCTTGAAGAGAAAGGAATACATTAGTATTCAGCTGAGTTGCTGTGAAACACTGATGAATAATCCTCTCTCTCCTGCTCTGTGATGTTAGGGCATCTGGCTGTAGCTGATAACCTACTCCACACCATTACAGGAATTAGTGTCTGAGAGCCTCATTTCTTACCTGAGCTGTTCTGATCAGTTCTTCCCTCCTGGTCCAGCAGTAAAACATACAATATGTTACCTTACTAAGCTTGCTTGTTTTTCACCATCACCAGTGATTTTTACCTCAATTCTTCCTTCTACCACAGAGGAACTAAATGATTTTCAAATACAGTAATAGGATACAATGAGTCTTCAAAAGTCAGGTTATTTATATTTAAACCTGCTTCTTCTGGTGGCTATGACCTCAGCATGCACAGAACTAACCCAGGTAGTGTCAGCTCCCGCACAGCACTGTATTAGAGCATAGCCTAATTGCCATTTCCTAATTTTATGGTTGTTTAACTACTAAAAAGTAACTTGCACCAGTAATGCCTAGGAACAGAAAAAGCTGTATTAAGTAGTCAGTCCATGTGCTTTTAAATGAGAATGGCTGTGGAGATACTTTCAGATATACACTACAATTTTATAATAAGTAGATATCACAGATACTGTAAAATATTTTATTCCCTTCAAGTAAGTAGCAGATCTCTCGTTATTCCTGGGTCCACCTTTCTCTCTCCTCCTGAAACTAGGTTTTGTCAATTTACTGACAAAACACAACGTCACGTCATCTAGAACATACCAAGGACATCAGATCTAATACAAGTACCCTTAGATACAAGACTGTTTTTGGAACTGAATATTCAAACATCATATGGTGAGAACAAAAACAGTTTACAGAGTTCTCAAGTCTCTTACCAGCAGACATGAAAATTGCAGTGTAAGATATGGAGAAAAGAAAACATTATTTTCCTTGTGACTTTAATAACTTAACTTAGAGATGTGAAAAAATAGATGCACCATGTCATGCTGCTCAGCTGCTCTAAGAGGTTGTAGAGCTTCATACACTGGTGTTTTTTATCTGCCTTTGTCTGCTCCTTGAACCATTAGATAGCATTAAATGCTGGAACGTGTACCCAGTACTCAATAGATAGCTTACAGCACAGAGTGCAATATGCATATTAGCCTCTGCTAGCTAGCACATTCAGTAATTACCGGGAAGTAATTATAGACTTCAGCAGAAGGCTACTGGGAACTCAAATAACTACACATGAGTAGCCAGCTAGGACAGAACTCACCCAGCTAAAGCTGGTAAGAGTCTGGCTATGTATGTTAGCATCTGTAGGTAACTGCTGTTACTTGCTTTCCCACTCCACCACGTAATGGTGCCGCCTGTCTCAGGTTGAAATCCCTACAAAACTGCTTTCTCAGTCCCTATTGCCTTCTTACAACTCTCTTCTGGATAGTTTTCTTCTGTAGTTCATACCCATTATTTTGCAGAAGCTAGCTGAAATAATCTAATTTAAGTATTATTTTGTGAATGTTACATATTCAAAATTACCTACACTATCACCCTATTCACTGTGCACCCAAAATCACAGAGCTTCTCGTTGCATGTCAACAGAGAGCAAGGAGTTGACTGGATGCTTGAATGACAGCAGCATATAGCCACCCCATATATCACTCACTGACTTTAATGAGCAACAATATTAGCATAATTATTGAGGATAAAAGTGCACAGCATGTTTTAGTAAGCGAACTGTGACTCGGTGCAGGCATGATAAATAGGAGGAGAGGAGCTACTTGGAAAGCATAAGGCAACTTAGGAGATTTCTTATCCAGTAGGCAGGTGAAGGTCAGGATTAGTGTGTGAACTATAAGCAAAACCCAAAGGGAAAAGTGAGCTTTACAGGAGTAACTTTAAGTGGAGTGGTCTACAGGTAAAGAGAAAAAAATCACCCAGTCCTATTCTCCAAACATACTTTTTAAGCATGACCAAAGAGCTGGTATCCCACTTAGAAAACACTACAGGAGACTTTACTGAAACAGCAACAACAGCCATTAAACTCCACCACCTGAAAATACCAGATATGTGATACCACCTTGAGTACAGTTTTTCATTACAGAGAGCAAGAGAGGAAGCAACCAGCCTTGGTGTCAGAGCTCAGGAGACCATGGCTCTATTTTTGGCTGAACCAACTCTAAGAGACCTGGTCAAGCTATACAAAAACTCTTTGTGCTCTCCCATCACCTGTAAAGAAAACATCGTTTGACTTGCAAAGTTGGGGTTTTTGTATTTTCTTTTCAGTTTTAGGTGCATGTTTAACCTAGATGCAAAACATAAAATTCAAATAAGGCATCTAAAACAGCTCCCAGGAACTGGCAGAGTAGTGCTATACCAAATTTGTTTTTGCATGAACTAACCTGGTTGGCAGTTGCCTGCGTTATTTCAAAAATATTCAACAAAGCCTGAGAACAGATGGTGGTAGTCTAAAGAGGTAAACACTCAAGAAAGCCAGAATCTCATGACGTTGATATCTGGGGGACTGACAGTGCAGGTAGTACATAAACATTAAAATGGACAAGTGAACTTAGCTATGAAACAGGACTGGAGGGAAAAAGAAGTCATTAAAAGATGCAGGAAATGTGCAGGGTAACAGAACAGATCAGTAGCATAATTTGGCTCTGAACCCAAACTTCTCATATCTTCAATCTAGCCAGGCATTTGTGTTTCAGAAGCCACTTGGGAGAGCTGTTCAGGTTCCTCCAGCAAAGAATTTCACACTGCTGCATCCAATCTCTGTTCCAAAACTTTAAAAAATACATTAACAGCTCTCACTCTCTACAGACTTCTGAGCTCACTTTTTGATAGAAAAAGACCTTCTTGCTAGACATCACAATCCTAAAAACAATAGTATGGTTTCTACAATTTAGACATTAAGTGACAAAAAGGAAAAAATGACCTCCACAAACAAAAAAAACCAAACCACACCACAGAATTTCAGAGAGCTGTGGATTCCCAAGTGTGCTTTGGGAAACTAAATTTACATTCATACTTGGGCTATTTTCTGTACATTTCTCATTAGATAAATAGTCATTAGAGATTTTATTACTCAACAGTCTTGCTATTAAGCAGTCTAGATGACTGCTTAATGAAGCATTGCAGACTATTTAGAATCCAGAATTCTGTGATCTTCTGTAGTACACAGACTGTTAACAGAAGCAGACAAACAGGAAAACTGAGACTCAGCTGAGTGGCTGTTTAAATGGCCTGTGCTGGCTTTGGCAAAAGCTTCTTGCTGCTCACATAGGAAATCAATTCCAACAGGTAGCAGTGAGGTTCACTCTCCGTTCACTAAAGATCACAGGCAGTTCTTGTATGTTAAGAACTTTCAAAAATCTCATTGAACTGCCAGTCTGGCACTAATCTCATTCTCAAAAACGCTCCTGCCCCAGACAGTTGAGGCTATTCCAAACCAGGGTCACCCAAGCAGGCTGTATATTTGCTCTTGTGTTGAATTAGCATGGCAGTGGATATTTCAGTTAAATTAAAACTTCATTATTTCAATAGCAATGATAGGAAGGATTTCATATAGATTGAAGAGTTTGAGGCTCATCATCTGCTTCTGCAAAAAGAATCTCTTGACCTTTAACATGCCAAGTGGTTGACTTTGCCATCGAGGAAATGGAAGCATGGCTTTAAAAATCTCAAGATCAACAAAGAGACTCAATTTCTTTTATACTGCTCCCCCTTCCAATGTCTTGTGCTAGTTCTAGTGCTCTTACAAACTGTTATTTTTATCTGAAGTTCTCAAAACATAAGCTTGTAAAAATACGAATGCAACTTAAGAGAAAGTAATACTCCTGTTGTATTCAATGCAGGAGAAAATTACTCCTCTGTTTGAATTAGAACCTAAATATAGTAAAATTTTTTAATTTACTAGGGTATTAAAATAATCTTTTTCATAATTAATGTCTTGCTTTCATTGACACTATATTTGATAGAGCTTTACCAGTTTTCCAGCCCAGCACACTCTCCTTCAGTAGTCTTACAATTACAGGTAGACCTGCTTAATCCAAAACTCAGAGCAACTATTACAATTCCTTCATTTCCAAGCTTATAAAAATGTGACAGCAAATTTATTTCCATTTCATTTCCCTTGATCAAAGCATTAGTTCTAGTAGCACGGCCTACTGAGCTAGCCTAGAGACCAAACTTCCCTTCCAGAGGAAAACAGGAAAAATGTTCTCAAGGGAACGAGCCTGACACCCACTGCTTCCCCTACTGCTCTGATCCATGTGTAGATTTCTTAACACTGCCTTCTGCCAGGAGATCTCTATTTCCCTGAATGCCAGCTACTCCCATCAGAATCAGGTCGGGCAGGGGTCTTGTATTACCTGCTCCTCTCAGGAACCATTTTTTATATTCCATAAAGAAGCAGCAGCAGTTATTCCCTCTTCATTCATGTAATAGTATTCTTCCATATATTGGTACATACCCCTCTAAACTTCTCTGTCTCCTAGAGACAGAGAGAAGTCTTCAGCAGACCTTGGGCTCACTCAGAGAATGCCACATTAACTTCCTTGTTTAGTTTTAAGCATTTCTTAATAGGCCACCATAGTCTCAAAAGAACTGTAACTGCCTGGTGCATAAAGCCCAGAGGGTCACAGGACAGAGACATGCCCCCTCCTCTTCCTCTCCAGCTCTCTTAGACCATCAAACACTATCCTGAAACAACCAAGCCACAGGAGAGACTGCAGCACAAACGTGCAGGCAGAGCACAGCACACACCTCCAGCTGCTGGATGTGCCACGGACACCCTGTGCTTGAGGTGCTGTAGTACAACCACAGCTGGCCTGTGAACTGGCTCGTACGTGGGAATCAGGAGGTAGAGAGAAGCTGCAACAGGAAAACAGAAGCTGTCAGCAGGACAGTGACACACAACACCTGACAGGCCTCCCAGTAATTAAGAGTCTCAGTCAAAGAGCTGTTACTGCACAGTATCAAGCATTTCAATGGGAATAAACTAGACTTACATCTACCTAACTATATTCAAATATAGAGTGATTTTTTTTCCTGGATTCCTACTAAGGTATACAATAAAGCCTGTTTTACAACCCCATGTAAAAGCTATGGGAAGATGTAGCTAAATACAGATAAGTGTCAAAAAGTGGCTAAGAAAGGGTACAACAGCTAGAAATATCTTTGAATATGATGTGCCCTTGCTCTTGGCAGCAAGTTCTAACAGCCAATGGAAAGCACCTTCCCAGTTCCCAGCCACAGGAAAAATGATCCTTTTGCCTGCACTTGGTATCTGCGTTCTACATCTCACAACTCAGCCCAGCTCCTTGTCAGGTAACAGGCACTGCACTCCCTTCAGCAAGCTGGTGACACAGAGCTGCTCCTGGCCATCCCTTCTGAGGACACTTAGATCAAAAACAAAAAGAGCTTTATGACTTGAGTCAAAGAAACAAGTTTCTGTATTGCTTATAAAGATACAGCACATGTCTTATAAGCTGAAAATTCTGACTTTACTCCCAATAAACAACTCACCTATGCAATTATTTAGGGTGTATATGGCTGTCCACTTGTACATACAACAGGGAGTCAGCTCTTAAAATACATTCAACCAGACTACAAGACTGTCCGAATTTGCAAGGCCATTACTGTCAGCCTGGCCTCCAAAAGAACATTCCCCCTCCCGTCCCTAAAAACACAACCCTATGAATTCACTCTCTCCCCAGTGTGGACAGCCTGGATTTGAACGGTGGATTTGGAGAAGTCCACGCCCGTTTTGACAGAGTGGGTGCTGGAGACTTACCTCCCCCTGCAGGCTACGGTGTCAGACCCACCCAACCCTTCAGTGCCACCAGTACAAAGGCCTCTTGATGAACCACACATGATATCCTGAAACTTCAGGTACAGCTCTTCCTATATCAGATGGCTCCTTAAAGTGACAAAAGCCTAAGAAAAATATCTCAACATCAATATCCTTCTCAACTTCATTAAGTTATTAAGTCAACTAAATAATGCTGGGGATCTCAAAACACAAGAAAGATTATCTCCTGAACTCCTGTTAGGGAGCTGCTATGAACCAACCCTAACTTCAGGCTGTTGTGGAATGGTGTTATTTCCTCACAGTACTTGGGAAATAACAATTCTATTTTGATTAAATTTCAAAGTGATTTGAAATAACGTGCACACCTACTCCTGTCAAATCTTTTAGAAAATCTGACCAAAATAGCTCAGGGACCAAGACAGTCAAAAACTGAGTCTCTAAGGCTCATGCAGGACAAATTATATTTTTTTTGTTACAGTAAAAGTATACAGTTAGAAAAACCAAGTTGTCCTGAACACTACTGAAGGCCTCTAATACCCCGACCTTAGCAGGTCAGGTTAATGCACTCTTGCAACAGTTGTGGCAGTTAGAGACATTACACCTCCTCAGCTGCCATCTCCCTGAAGCATTCCACCAACAACCTGTATCCCAGTAGCAGAACGTAAAACTATCTGAGCATACTCACAAGCTTCATCATAAGACCATTTTAGCTGCAGATTAAAGTGATTTGAGGAATTTTTTAATGAAGGGGTTCATTCCACACTATAAATCCCTGCTGCTGTGCTTCCTGTGTTCTTCCTTTCAGCTTGACCACTCATCAATTGCACCTCCCTTTTGCCACTCCTAGCACTTAAATGAAGCAACAGTAAAGCTCTGCAGCAGCTGCAAAAGCATTCCTACTTTGTTGGACAGGGAAGCAAGGGTCTCATCACCTAAGGACAAGAGAAAACAGCGACATGCAGCTCTGGTTCAGCTTCCCTAGCTATTTCAGGAATGTCGTGTCCTACCCAGATGCATCTATAATTTTATGGCAGGGTCCACAGGTGACACAAGGTGAGAGTCACTCAGCAGAGAAAAGTTGCCAGCTGCAGATACACTTCATGTAGGAACTGCTGTGAGGTAGGAATCTTCCGTGCTGCCTGTCACAGCCACACTACATCTATTTTGCATGAGAGCCTCTCACTGCAGCCAAGCAAGAGCCAAGCTGTGGTGCCCAAGCATTTCTTTTGGCTGGCCTGGCATGCACATGTGCATACACACGCATGCTTGCAAAGAAAACAGGTTAGAAAGGCAAGTACAGAGACTTAGATTCACTCAGTATAGAGGGCAGGGAGAGTGAAGAGGAAGAGAGACAGAGGTCAACATGACCTGTCTTCAGCACTGCGATGAACAGCTGGGGGGGAAAACAATGAATGATTACAGCCTTTGCTTACTGTCACCCAGCTTCCTTTCCAAGAGGAAACTCTTCAGCAGGTGATGGAATGTGTGTGTGTGACTGGTACAAGTCTTGATTAGCATGTCAACAAACTTGCTCATGCAGTTCTGTATGGAATGAGCCCCAAAATCAACTCTGCTCCTGCTGTTCTGCTCAACCTTCCTTTGAGGAATGTTGATATTATGCTTGAGAACCTATTAAGGCCATCAGTAATGGCAGATAAGATAATCAGAATGGCAGATTCTCAATAAAATTAAGTAGTATATTCTTCCATATACAATCCATTCCTTTTTATTTCCCAATTTTACTACCCTTTAATTAATTCTTCCAGTCATAGATGCACTGATGGAAATTTCTATTTAAAATACAGAAATAAAGCTTCACGCTGACCAGCATCGGTGCTGAAAAAGCAATTTCCACAAGATACAGTAAAGGTAAAAGGGTGGTGCTAGTGAAAACACATGACAAAATATTAACACATTTTTAGGCTGAGTAATTTTTCTATCAGAAATCATAGAGTACATCTCCTGTGGCACTAGCCATAGCTGTGGAGAAGCCCATGGGCACTTTTCTAATGAGACAGTGCAGCCAGGCAGGTGACCAGGAGCCAACTGCCTAAGAAACTGAACAGCTATGAGTGACACAGCCTCGGGCAATCTTAACTGGCTTGTTTAGCCAACCAAGTCCTTTTAGAAACTTCACTACTATACTGTCAACATTAGGTGGCAGCAAATACCTACAAATTAATAAAGGGCAAAATTTTAAAGACTGCACTACGGTGACAACTGTACAACACAAAGCCCTTCAAACTGCAGATATAGTCTCACCAGCCTCAGAAAATAGGTGCTGAGGAACCTTTATGTCAAAACAAGCAAAAAGCCAAACGACACAACTAAACAAAAATCAAAGGAACACATCGAGTGACATCCAAGGCCAAGAGATACAGGTCTTAAAGTGATGTAATTTGGGAACTTCAAGACCATCAAAAGAAGTGGTTTAGTGACAGAAGAGCTTGGTTTGCCACTGCCCCTCTCCCCTTCAACAGCCATTGGGAGTTTGTGTAACTTCTACAACTACACTGCATTGTAGCATTATTTCCCAGAACTTTAAGATATCAAAGATGGATTAAAATTAAATGTGGCTGGCATATTTCTCAGGTGAGAGAAAGAAACAAAATCATCTTTTGAAGTACGATGCTTCACTTTTTCCTTTGGATCATTTTATTTAGTTTCACTCAGCAATGAAAGATGAAAAAGGTTACAAATCTGTAGTGAAAGAAGTGTGAAGGGTTACAAGTGACTGCTGGTACAGAATACAAAAGATTCACCAGAATGGAAAAGCCTGACTATGCTTGTTCTGAGCATTTGCTAAATTCTATCCCATTGCTTAATATCACATCATTGGGCTTTTCATTAAAGGCTACTAAACATCTGGACCACAAATTATCATCTTTTATGTCCTGTATGAAACAATTTAGCCTTGCTAGAAAATGCAGCTGGAAGCATGTCAGTGCTAGGAAGGGGGGCAGAGCACCACACCAGATGAATACACACTACATTCCCTTCTAAGGAACCACAATTAGAGAAATCACTGGCCAGTGGAAAAATTTGGGATTCCCAGACTTACTGAACTATTCTGGTCTAAGTGATTGCAAGGTGGTGATCTTGTTAGAAGAGATAGCAAGCAAGCCAGTTCATTTCACTGCCTGTCGCTGTGTTTCATTAGAGCTTCAGAATTTAGGAATTTATCTAACTAGCCAACTAATGTTTATGTGGGGATATAACAATTTTTTTTTCAGCTCATCTGAAATTGTAGTACTTCTCAAGAGACATTCAAGAAGGCAAACATCTTAAACATACATGCCAGCAACAACTTGGAATGTAGCAAGATGGCAGAGATGCCACTCAAGAAGACACTGCCTGTTGTGCTGATACATTCTTGCAAAAGATCACTTTACTATTCCCATTTCAGTGCCTGACACAAGTCTTTGCTACCCAGGTCACAACTCCAACATAACACCAGAAACTATTACGTACTAACATAGATAAAACTGGTAAAAAAAGAGTGAGAGTAAAGCCTGCAGTAACCATCAAGCACAGCTTTTCCATTGCAGAGGACCAATTCAAAATGTATAAATTGCCAACCTACCTCCTTTCTGCAGCAGATAGATGGGCACAACATAAAGCATCACATGCTGGATGTAATAAATTTCCATTTCAAATGGAAGCTGTGGAATAAGGAAAATATTTGTAAATGTTTTTCATCCCCAACAACCGTGTTACAAGGAACCACTCTCCTGGTGAGCCGTGAGGGTTCAGTTTTCTCAGCTGGGTCCATGAACACAGAGGTGCCACTCGTGGTCACAAGTGCAGCTAGCTGTGCCCACGCCACTCCCCACCACAAACACAGCACAGCACTTCAAGCAGACAATCCTCAAAAGGAGCCAGAGGCACAACAAAGGAGCAATAATATAAGATCTTCTCCCTTTCTTTCTTAGCATAAATTACCAATAACAATGCAAAATCCTAAAGTAATCAAACCAGAAACCACATGCCTCCCATATGACAGCAGCATATTTAGAAAGAAATCACAATTGCTACCTTGTGAGTGACAGAACTCTATAAATGAGGCCTTTTAGACAAATAAATACATAAAAGTAATTACTGAGGTGGCCTGTGTAAAAATCAAAAGACATGGTTTATAGCAATCTACATGCATGTCTGAAACTGCTAACCTTCACCAAACAGAATATAACATAAAATAATCAATATTTTATTGGTATTTTTGAAAGAGAAGCTGCAGAAGGATGGTTATAAACCATTAAGGAATTAGTAGTACATCAGGTATTTCTCACCTGCTGACAACTTCTGGAAAAGTACACTTAGTTATTTGTGTGTTTAGCAGTTAAATTCATGTTACCTCTTAGAGGACAGTCAGACAGACTGTGCTAAAAATAACTTGAACAACAACTCTGCGTTTAACCACCCAACTAATTCTGGCTCAACTTTATCAGTTAGAAAAGGTGATGCATTGTATTTGAAAGTTATTCCCATTCTAAATGCCTTCGCCTCTACTTGTTAAACTAATCCAACACATTTAAAACTGAATAGTAGTAATAAAGACTCAGACTCAAAACTCAGAATTCAACCTTTTGCTGCAGCTCATTTACAACACTAAAGACATGGTTTTCAGAAGGGAAAAGTGGACACCACCACCACCCAAATACCCAATCTCACAGGAGTAACACAACGCCATAAGCTCTGGTTCAAATGCAGACTCATTCTGTCACTCTACAGGCTGAAACGAATCCAGATGCAAGTCCTACCATCGTGGCTTGTCTGTCAGGAAGGAACAAAAAAGCACCTTCCTTTTCTGTTAATGTTCTGAAACACTGAAGTCATAGCATTGAAACAGAAACATTGCAAAAATGTCTACATCAACAGAAATAAAGAAAGGCTGAAACAGAGTTTGGTTTTCTTCCTAAATAGCAGTTGATAAATATAGGGATCTTTTAAATTCAACAATTCTTACATCCTGTTTTGAATGTAAAAGTTGCTAAGACCAACAGCTGGATTCTGCTTGTCCTGGCATCCCTACCTGTTTGAACACTATCAGTGTCCAGATTGCAGCCTCCCAAGAGGCTCAGCCAATTCTTGGGAGGCTGGGCTGAAAAAAATCCTCCACACAATCTGTTGGGTTATTTTATTCCAAGTATTCTGTACCAAAACATAAAACCAAACAAGACACTATGCAAAAGCAAGAACTTCAGAGAAGTTTCCTAATCTGAACCTTTTCTGCTGTCCCTTGTAGAAAGGCACAGAGGGCAAAGTGAGGGAATCAGTATTATTTGGGAAGAAGATAAAACAGTTTTCCTAACTGGAGAAAAAACTGTACCTCTCCCAGCTGGAACAGGCATGCTTCAGAAATAATAGCTCCCAACATAAACAACACAACGTGAGGCACTCTCTCCTGCCAAGGAGTGTTCTCTATTTAGTATCTGTGGTTTCACAAGGGCTTCTACACTCTCCGAGCTGTGAGGGGCAGTTACACAAACACCACAGTCAAGACACTTCTGAGAACAGAGTAACCAGTTGTTTTGCCACAGTAGTGTTGACAATATTTTTTGTGTAAAACAAAACATCTCTTTTTGACCATAAAGGATTGTTTGTTCTGAAGCCTGGCTAATTATGAAAGTGCATTTCCTGGTACAGAGCTTCAAAAGCAGAATTTCTGCAAAATCAAGCACTTAAGTTGTACAGACAGCGTAGAACAAACAGAAAAAGGGCAAACACAAAAGGTGAACTATAAAGTTGTACTGACAACTCATTCACCTACCCCTAAGGGTCTTGTCCATAAATTGTTTCATCAATAAAACACTCAGAGCTAGCAGGTAGGTATCTTTTATATGCAAAGAGAAACTGCAAGACGAGGTAGAAGGGAACACTCATCCATACAGGATTATAAAGAACCTCTTTGGGAAAACAAGCACTTCAACAAAAGACAAAATTTGAGATTTATTTTTTTTAAATCGAAGCAAAACTTACTCATAGAACAAACTAAGTCAAAATATTGAGTTGGTCCCCCTAATAATATTTGACCATAAGCACCCATGAAGGCCACATATTTAAACTGAGACTCAACAATCTCCAAAATAGAGCCTCTTCATAGGTCCCAAGAGACTTGTCCTCTCCTGTCAGATGGCAATGAGAAAACCCAGCACTCACTCTGAAGAGCACTATTTGACTGAGAGAGTTGGGGCTGTTCAGTCTGGAGAAGAGAAGGCTCCGAGGTGACCTTATTGTGGCCTTCCAGTATCTTAGGGGGGCTACAAGAAAGCTGGGGAGGGACTTTTTAGGATCTCAAGTAACAACAGAACTAGGGGGAATGGGGCAAAGCTGGCAGTGGGCAGATTCAGGCTGGATGTGAGGAAGAAGTTCTTCACCATGAGAGTGGTGAGACCCTGGAATGGGTTGCCCAGGGAGGTGGTTGAGGCCCCATCCCTGGGGGTCTTTAAGGCCAGGCTGGAGGAGGCTCTGGGCAGCCTGATCTAGTGGGAGGTGTCCCTGCTCATGGCAGAGGGGGTGGAACTGGGGGATCCTTGTGGTCCCTTCCAACCCTGACAGATTCTGATCTGTTTTAGCAGAGGACTTTAGAGCCCTAATGGCTCAATGGTTGGACTTGATGATCTTGGAGGTCCCTTCCAACCTAAAGGATTCTATGATTCTATGATTCTATTTCCCCACTGCAAACCAGTGATGTTCATGGCACACTTCTCCAACCACACCTGTCCCCAGAGAGATTCAGAATCACTAGATATTTGTTACCAAATTCTGTGTATCTGTTGTCAATTTATTGCTGGTTTGTTTTTTTGTTTTGGCTGGGGTTTTGGGGGGTTTTTTGGTTGTTTGGTTGGTTTTGGTTTTGTTTGGTTGGGTTTTTTTTGTACTAAGCTCCTGCCTCCTTTCCTTGCTGCCAGAATCGCTTTTCCTGCATTTCACCTTGTTTCTTTTGCTTGGAATCTTCAAACAACTAATGGTACAAGATAAAAAGACAAATGACCTATTTCATCTACTAAGTCCCTTAACAGTGTAAATGAATACAGAGGACAGGCTATTCTCTCACTCAAGTCAATACATAAGTTTTTTCTCACTTGGGGCAAAGCAAATCTGCTTCATCCATTCATAGGCTTTAACACAGGTATAAAATCATATATATTTCAAAACACACCAAACTAATACTGATATACACAACTCCTCTAACATACAAGACCAAAGCATGCTAACAAAGTACTCTGGAATTAAATATTCAGACTATTCACATTTTTAAAGGAAGTGTCTGTTAGAAAACAAATGGTGTTTGGTTCCTCCAGGAAGACTTTGGCTCACAGCAGCCTTTTGTGCTTCTAGCCCCTACATCAGCCTGCTATGATTCAGATTCACAAGTGCCACATTCCCTGAGACATGCCAAAGGCCCTCTCGAAAGTACCAAGAACAGCAGAGCAATGAGACCTCCACCCCAAGAACAGGTAAGTGATGTAGATTTCTACTAGTCTAACTAAACTAGTATCTGTGGAAAGGAGAAACTGTACCAGAAAGGACTGGTGCTGACCCTTGCACCTCTGAGCATGAAGAGTCCCAGCCACCAACAGCAGTTCTCTGAGCACATGCCTGATGTCCTAACTTAAACCAGCTACTGTCGTAAGGAAGCAACAAGGTCTTCCCATTGACTGCACTAAGTTTTAGGAAAATCTCTGCAAGACAACAGTAGAGTTGAGCCCACAAGTCAAATATTCAGATGAGAGTTTTCCCCAAAAGAGTATGGCACACTATACTAGTTTAAACTATCTTACACCCACTTAGACATAGCTGTTGGTTTCCAGTGGGCAATGTGGTTACCAATTTGCTCTGTTTTCTGAAACCAGTGCTCCTCTGTTACTTATTTATACCTTAGCCATATATTTGCAACAACAGCTCGAGCACTGTACTGTGCAAGAGCTCTCCCTCCACCATCCTCTACAAAGACTGCAGAGTATGGCAGAAAAAGGAATAGGAGGAATTCAACTCCCAGATTCTGATCTTTTCTGTAGCACATCTAGCCCAAAGTCCAGTAAACATAAATGTCACTCTGTACCAGCCACCTTCTCAGACACAATCAGTGACTCAGATTCATAACCCATAATCATTGACTAGTTTCCTAAACAGAATCACTAATCAAAGAAATAAATCAGAAACATAGGTTTTTCTTTTTCCCTGCAAAGCAGACCACAGAACAGATTAACCACCAGAGGGGAGGAACTTACTAAAGCTATACAATATAAAAGTCACAGGGCAAGCAGCTACTAGGCCCATGTGACATACTGTTTTTTTTCTCAGCACCTTTAAGATTCTGATAGTCAATTCCTTAATTGGCAGAGGAGAAACAGCTTCCAGCAGCTTAAAAGAGTAGTCTAAAAACAGACATGAAGACTTGAAAGAAAACACCACAAAACAAACCCCAAACACAAGCAGCATTTGGAAAACAGGCTATCTCTCTAGTCCTACCAGGACTTGTTTCTCCAGCAGACATCCAAACTGGCAAACAGCCAAGAAGCTGACCCATGCTCAAGTTACTGTCACACTACTCAGGCAGCTCTACAGCTTAGGCACTGGCTTATACATCTGGCATAGATCAGAAAAGACATTCCCATCTATTTCAACACTGGGAAGGAGCAGACCAAGAAGAAAATTT